CTCTCACCTTCTTCCTTCTTTCTCCCCATCTTCTTCTCCTGCTCCTCCTTTCCAATTCACTCTTCCACCTGACCCTCGTCCTCGTCCTCGTCCTCGTCCTCGTCCTCGTCCTCGTCCTCGTCCTCCCCTACCGAGCATGTTGGCATATTGGCAGATGGCGGTCACGTGCTTGGGTTCGGCCTCTATCGCTCTCTCGTACATCTTGGCTGCCGTCTCGTAGTCCTGGTACCCCTCCTGCTTCCTTCTCAGCTCGACTCCAGCTGAGACTCACTGACCTCGAGCAGCATGGCGTAGTTGCAGAGTGGAATGGTTGGCATCCAGCTGAAGAAGCAGTAAGAGGAGGAGGAGAGGAGCGAGATAGAGGTAGAGGTAGAGGTAGAGGTAGAGATAGAGGTAGAGGTAGAGGTAGAGGTAGAGGCAGAGGTAGAGGTAGAGGTAGAGGTAGAGGTAGAGGTAGAGGTAGAGGTGGAGGTGGAAGAATGACCTGCAGCGCTTTCTTGAACATCGCCTCGGCTCCTGGCTTGTCTTGCTTGGCGTCATAGAGCAGGTGACCGTAGTTCGCCAGTACCTGCTCATCATGAGCGGAGAGAGGAGCCAACAAGACGAGAGAAAGAGGGAGAGAGAAAAGATGGAGAGCAGGAATGTTGTGGAAGAAGTAGGAGAGAAGCACGAGAAGGAGGAAGGGGAAGAGGTTGAGAGATAGGGAGAGGGAGCTGGATCTGGAGTGGGCGAGAGATAGGATGAGAAGGAGGAACAGGAAGAAGAGAAGGAGTAGGAGGAAGAGCAAGAAAAACTCACAGTCGGGTCGTTCGGAATAAACTTCATCGCAACCTTGTAATTTTCTTCAGCTGCTGCATACTTTTGTTGTATCTGGCGATAATCATCACTCCCTACTCCGACTGCCCTCTCCCTTCCCCACTCTTGCCTCCCCTTCTCTGCATCCCTCCATTCTCCCCCCTCTCGCCTCGTCCCTCATCTCCCCTTTCTCTCCTCTTCTCTCCCCGTCCTCTTTCTCCCCCTCCCTCCCTCCCCTTCATGTTTCCTTGACTCGACTTCTCACGCCCTTACCGAATGTTGCAAGACAGCGATAAACCCGTAGGATGGCCCATGCATGGGCTCCACCTATAAGTGAAAAGTTAATAATCCCCTGCTGCTGCTGCTGCTGCTGCTGCTGCTGCTGCTGCTGCTGCTGCTGCTGCTGCTGCTGCTGCTGCTGCTGCTGCTGCTCGTCCTCGTCCTCGTCCTCCTCCCTAGCACTTCTCTCGTGCCCACTTCCATCCTCCATCACCATCACGCCCTCCTCATCCTCACTCACTTCGACAGCTCTTTGGTAGTACTGCTCTGCTAGCGAGTAGTTGGCGCATGTCGCTTGAACGATCAGCCCCTTGTTGCAGAGCGTGTTCACATGCTTAGGGTCCAACTCAAGCACCTGTGGAGCAGCATCAGCCTCCTTCTCCTCCTCTTGCTGGCAGAGTTTGCGCAACCTCCTCCTCCTAACCTCCTTCTGTCATGCTCTCTTCCTCTCTCCATCCTGCCCTGCACTTCCCTCGTGCTCTTGATTCTTCCTCTCCTCACCTACCTGTCTCTTCGTCTCCTTGATAACGCCTGCTGTACCCCCTCCTCCCCTCCCCCTTCCCCTCGTCTCCTTCCCGCCTCCTCCTCATCTTCTCCATCTCACCATATCGTACATCTTCTCCGCGTTGGTGTAGTCCTGGTGAACTTTCCCCAAGAAGGTCGCAAAGTGCGAGAGGGCCTCTGGATGACGCGGCTCCAGCATCAGCGCTTGTGACATCATGCGCTCGGCTGCATTGTAGTCCTTCGTGACCTGCAGCAAGCGCTTAGGTGGTGGAGGAGGAGGAGGAGGAGAAGAAGCTGGAATGGAGTCAGGATGGGGACCAGGCCGAGGAAGGGGAGGCAGAGAAAGGAAAAGGGGAACAAGGAGAAAGCAGGACGAGGAAGGAGTTCTGAAAGCTACCTCTTGCTTAAGAAGGCCATAGAATGCAAGAGCATTGACATGCTGCGGATCAATCTGCAAACACCTCTGGAAGTGCTTCTCAGCCTTATCGTACTTCTTGCAAGCATCGTCGAGGTAGAGGCCGCCCAGGTAGCAGTGGGTTTCAGCACTGTCAGGATCGATTTCCAGAGCTCTAGTGAACAGCTCATGTGCTTGATCGAGGTCTCGGTCCCTTGAGTGGAGGAAGTGGGCGAAACTGGAAGGAGGAGTTAGTGAATGAGAGGAGGAAGGAAAGTTGAAGGAGGAGGTGCGGTTGGATGAGGATGCTATAAGAATATGATGATGAGAGAACAAGAAAGAACAAGCAAGAATCAAACACGGGGTGTGAAGCATGATGACGACGATGATGAAGGTTGAGGATGTTGTTATTGCTCTCAAGGATGAAGTGTGCGATGACAAGAATGCTTGCGAACCTTGACATGGAGCGAGAGTGTTGCGGGTCAATCTCAAGAGCCCTCTCAAACAGGGCCCTTGCCTGATCTGCATCGCCGTGCATCCGCATCAGCGTCAGCCCCCGCTGGCTCAGATGCTCTGGGGTGTTGTGGTCGTACAAAGTCAGCTTCGTCCTCCCCGGTGACTGCATGCGGTGTAGACATGCCGTCGTCTCGTTGTCGAACTGCACCCTCCACGTGCACCGTCTCCCTCCATCCGCACACTCGGCCGCGTTTTCGCAGCTCTCCTCCCCCACCACCACCCCAACTTTCCCCGCGTGCTCCTGCAACTTTATCTTCTCCGTCGGGACATGCAGGACAACCACTTGAGACCCGACCTGGATCCTCCCCTCCCCTTGCTCTGCCCCCTCCTCGGAGCCCGCAGCTCCCTCTCCTCCACGTAGCCGCACGACAACGCAATTTCTGTCCTCCCCCGACAACATCAACGCTGCCCAGCCGCCCCCTGTTCGAGCATGCTGGCATGCACCGCCAGAGACCAGCGCTCGAGGATGCAGGCTGCTCTGGCACAGACCGGCAAGGAGCAGCTGTATGAGCACAGGACGCAACCTCTTCATCCTCCGATCAAGTCAGCACAACCTTGTCATATCACAGCTTTGCTCGTGGAGTCAACCACCAGGGTCAGAATTCCATCGATCTGCTGTGACCAGCGAGAAGCCTCCTCCTCCTGAAAGCTCAGTCAGCTTTCCAGCACAGGAAATCTATCTCTCGTCGTGTTCCCCATTCTCCTCCTCCTCCTCCTCCTCCTCCTCTCATCTCAAGATTCACCTCCACCTTCTATCTGATGTGTATGTACCTCCTATGCGCCCCCCATCCTCGTAAGTGATGTAGCTCCATCACATCCATGAAATAGTGGTAATCAATACTATTCCCTGTCTTCTTCATGTCTGTCACTCCTTCAGCAAATTCCTTCCTCAACCCTTTCATCATCATTGCTTCGTCTCCGTTCCTGTCTCTGTCTCTGTCTCTGTCTCTGTCTCTGTCTCCGTCTCCGTCTCTGTCCCTTCTTCTGCCCCAGCCTCTTCCTCTACATCTTCCTCCATCTTCTCTCCCCACTCTTCGCCTGCTCTCTCGCGCTCTCCATCACTTCCTTGCTTGCCTTGTACACTCCTACACATCTTCCTGCATTCCCGGCCTCCCGCTACTACCCCACCCTCGAATTGAGTCCTCTTCCCATATTGCCCCTAGAGAACCCCTCCAATTGTGGATCCCACCCCAGTATCATTACGTTCTTTTCAGATCGATTGAGGGTTATTTTCGTACCCCTACCCCCTCTCCAATACTACCTACCCCAGCGCAAACTTTTGGCATACCCCAACTCAATGTTTGGTTACCCTACCCCCCTATTTTTATGATTTTCTTGGTATTGTATACCGGTACTAAACTTACCCCACCCTCAGATCAGCTTCATGGTCTTATGTATTGGATCCTGGATGACGAGGTAAGAGGGAGGAGGGGGAGGAGAGAGCGAGAGCGAGAGCGAGAGCGAGAGGGGAGGAGGAGGAGGAGGAGGAGGAGGAGGAGGAGGAGGAGGAGTACGCATGAATGGAGAAGAAGACGGAAAGGACGATGAGAGCGATGAGGAGGGAGTTTGGTTTCATGGGAATCAAGTAGCAGTGAAGATCGCTCGTCTCAGCAAGTCAGACCTTGTTAGATCTCATGCGGATCTTTCGCGTGACTTTCTCTATCCTCTGTTCGTCTTCCTTATGCTGATGACTTTGTAGCAGCCGATCCAGTGCTATTATCCTCGACAACAGACAGTCCGCTGACATCTGTGACTGTCATCCTAGGAGAAGAACGATTGGAGATGAGCGGCAAAGGTAGTCTGAACTTTGATCACAATGCAGAGCTACATAGTAAAACACATAGCATAGAATCAGAGGGCCACTGAAATATCTTCAATCGTGCATTTTAAGGCATCACGGAGAGTGTGCGACGTCGTTCATGCTGCTGGGGAGCAGAAGAACGCGATCGAGGCCGGGCAGCTGTGAAGCTTCTGTTGGCGTTGCCGGTCGCAAGGGATGTTGACCTACCGCAACCTCTCGTGCATTCCCTGACAACACGTCCCAATGCTGCATGGCGGCTGGTGAGGCTTGCCATGCCGGGCCTCCACCTTCCTAGTCTCTCAGGCGTTTCGAGCTTGTACCCTGTTTGCACAGACCAGACTGACCACTGATTGGGTGACCGCGTCACAACGATGAAAGTAGACGGTCTGATCCGAGTGACAACTCAGTTCACAAAGTGATATCATCAGTATCAAGCCGAACCGACTCTGAATCTCTCCCTGGGCCAGAAGTCCGAGCTCCGGCGAACCCAGGCGATATCGCAGGCTAGATGACGGGACGGGCTGCTGCTACTTCAGGGATGCTCTAGCAATGCTCTAGCAATCGCAAGCATTCCGGACCTTCTGTTTTGTCATTACATACTGGCCGCACACTACTCAGTGATCATCCGATCATGCTGCCTGCCCGATGCTTCAAGCAACTCAGTTCAGTTCTGGCAAACTGGCGCGGCGATCGGACCGTTCAAGGGCCCGGCGGCGGTGCGCCGCGTTCCGAAGTTCACTGAGGGCCCGAGCGGCCCGGCGGCGGTGCTACGGTGCGTGTCACCCGGACAGTGTGGCCCGGGCCGGGCCTGCTCCTGGCCGCCGTAACAAGTCTCGGAACGACCTGACCGTTACATAAAAACGGTCCACAGGACATACGCGGCCGCCGATGGCAGGAGAGGGAAAGTAGAGGAGGGGGAGAGGAGACAGAAGAGGAAGAGGACGACAGGAGCACACGATCCTTTCACAAGAGCACGTGAACGATCTCCTGCTTGAACGCTCGCTTCCACCAGAATCCTAGCATCCCTTAAGTTGGGCACCGGGGGTCTCGAGCATGGTACGCGGTTGCGAGAGATGGCATGTTTGTCTCGTTCTCCTCAGCCTTGTTGGAGTGTCATGGGCGCTGAACTCCCGCATGCTGATGAAGGATATGGATCCAACAGAGGAGCTCCTTCAGGAGATGGGTGCGCAGGAGTATGAAGAGTTCCAACAGCGGATTGCAAACCTCAATCGTACCGATGTGTTCGACAAGGCTATGGCGGGCAGCCATCAAGCAGAGTTCTTGATGGGGCTGATCTTGTCTGTGGAAGGAAAGGATCAGGAATCCCTCGAATGGCTCTCCAAGTCTGCCAAACAGGGGAACTCCCATGCAATGTACAGCCTCGCAGAGACGATCCTGAGGGACAAGTGCGGCAGCGCGGACGAGGCATGCATGTGGATGCGAGAGTCGGCGGCGAGTGTGTGCGACATCAAGGGATTCGCTGATCGGAACTTGGCGTGTCAATTTGAGCTAGAAGGAAGAGTCCTCGAGCTGGTTCGCGATGACGTGAACCCTCTTCAGCTGCGTCAAGTGGTTGCAAAGGAATCAGGGGAGGTGGTCTGGGACGCGAGCAGCAAGAACTCGTCCAAGAGTCTCAACTCGCTGCTCAACAAGGCTGTTCCGGTCGAAAATAATGGGAGGAAACAATCAATCCCCAATTACGTCGCATGCTCCTCGGCCGAGACGTTCATCAACGTGGACAACATCGTGACTAGGGGCATACAGGAGTTGCGCTCCCACGTGGACATCGCTCGAGGGTTCGCGAAGCTCATGGGGAAGGACTCGAGAGCGACGACAGACGAGACGGTCGCAGGAGTGCTGATGACTCTGATGATGAACTTTGACGACAACAACCGTCAACAGTTCAACACATACGTGACCTCCGTCCCAACTTGGACCAACGCGCTCAAGTACATCGAGAAGAAAGTGAGTGAGGGTCATGGGTACTACACTGCTATCCTCTCTGTGCTGCTCAGGAGGGGGATGGGAGTGGAGAAGAACGAGGCCAAGGCCTTTGACCTTGCGCTCAAGGCTGCTAAGCTTGAGGTGCCCGAGGCCATGTGCAACGTAGGAGTGATGCTGGAGCAAGGCGTCGGGACTAAAGTGAACCTGGGAGAGGCCAAGCTCTGGTACGAGAAGGCAGTGAAGGCAGGCGACGATCAGGCCATGGCCAACCTGGGGTCTCTCTACGAGCGGGGAGAGGGAGGAGTGAAGGCAAACATCAAGCAGGCCTTGGCTCTCTACCGCAAGGCTGCAGACCTGGGCAACGGTGCAGCCATGAACAACATTGGAAGGCTGTACGCCCTTGGATTGGGTGTGAAGCAAGACTACATCGAGGCAAGGAGATGGTTCAGGAAGGCTGTTGAGGTGCCTTCCCCTGTCTTTGTCTTCAGCAACGAGCAGTTTCGCAACCAGATCAACCTCAAGGAAGCCAAGTTCGACCTCAGCGATGTCCCGGGCAGGAACCCCCCGAAAGAAGCCTTGTTCAACCTCGGGGTCTTGTACGAGCGAGGCCATGGAGTGAAGGTGAACAAGAAGGTTGCTTCTCAATGGTACGGCCGAGCTGCCTACATCTTTCAGTAAATGTTGCCGAACAACTCCCCCCCCCCGCCCGCCAACTCCCCGCACTCCTTCCCTCCTAGTCTTCATACTGTGATAGTCCTGCTGGCTTGTCCGACTCGACGTTGCTGCTCCTCGTCCTGCATCTTCCTCAGAACCGCGAGCTGTAGACTCTATCGGCCGATGAAGTCAGTGACTTCTTCTTGCACTCCCACATCAGAGTGCGTCTGAGTGGTGATTGCCAACGTGCACTGAATCTGTAGATCTACAGCTTTATTACAACGATCTTTCATACAACGTCAACACAAAGTTCAAGGATGATCTAACTGCGGTTGTGCTACTCCTTGCAAGTCTTCCAGTGGACGAGCATGTCAAGCTTGTCAAGCTTGGAAAGCTCAACCTCAACCATGGTAAAATTTGCAGCTTCCCATCAATATCCTGCCTAGTCCTCAAACATCTTCCGCATGTCTTGCAAGGCCCGCATGATCTCCCGCATGAACCTCTCGGAGTCCGTCACCTTGCAAGAGCGCTTGCTGCTTACGTGGAAGAAAGTGCGATCGTCGTCTGCCATCATGTACGAGACACCATAGCCATCATCGGCCACAGGGCCGAAACCTCCGCTAGGCGAGACCATGTTGGGATCGGTCGTCACGAACTCAGTCTGACGCTGGGGGATCTGAGATGTGCTCAGCTTCCACGGCATGCTCAGAGCGTCCTTGAGGAACTTCACTTCCAGCCCGAGGCCCGTGGCGGCGACATAGAGGGCGAAGAGATGCCTGTCCACCCCTCGACCCAGCGAGGCATCGCGCGAGTAGCGCTGGTGCTGGTCAGCAGCCTTGTAGAGCGCGGCGATCTTGTCCTTCTTGGGAACGTCATCGCTCAGGATCTGCATCACTGCGTTCTTCGACTCCAGCGACACCGAGCGGATCGTCTCCGTCCTCCCCTCGTTGAACAGTCTCACGGCCGCGGCCTCGTACGTCAGCGCCAGCGACCCTCGATCCCTGTGGTAGGCGATCTGCAGCGCGACTTGGATCCAGGCATCGGGGCTGCACTTGTGCTTCTTCATGAAACCTTTCCCATAGCCTCCCTTGGACACTTCGCAAGAGTCTACCACAAGGTGCAGATCTTTGCATTGCTCTGCCGAAAGCTGCGCTGCCTCCAAAATGGCGTCGCGGGCCTCCGGCCAAAAGCGCCACTCGAGCTTGGCCGGGTGAATTTGTCGCTTTTCAAGGGTCTCGCGTTTGACGTTTGTCTTTGGAGCAAGCTTAGAATGATCAGCAAGCGGCTGGATGTCATCTGGAGCCTTCAAGGTTCCATCAGGATGGTATGGTTTCAAGGCATACTCCTGATACAGCACCCACTCCCACCCATGCGCGATCACTGGAGCATCAGCCCATGAATGTTCGGCATGTACGGAAGCTTCTCCGTTACTGTACACCAGGAGGTTGAACGACTTGTCACACCACCGAGTGTTTCCCTCGCCATGCAGCGACAGCCTCGCGGTCTCGCTCCAGTTCTTAGGCGAGCGATCGTCCAGGTGCAGGAAAAACATGGCGTGCTCAATCTCGTCGAGCGACAACTTGTTCAGCCCAGATCCGAAGTGCTCTTCGCGGATCTCAGCCCATCTAGTGCGGTTCAGGGCTGTTAGAGCAGGCAGATTTGCCTCGGCATCGGCAGGATCTGGGACAGGGATAACCTTTCCGACAGATCCCACAATGAAGTCAAGCTGGTTCTGAATCTCATGGATAGATAAGGGACTTCTCTGATGATCGAAGACCTCCACGCGCCAGAAGGTTCCCTTGTACAACACGGCGATATGGAGCGAGTCCGTATGACGGAGAACGTCGTCGTCTCTTCCGGGGATTCTGCACAGGCAGAACATTCGCTCGTACTGTCGCATGCAGATCGGCACAGTGCCGCGAATGGTCATGGGCTTCAGGCGTTCGGTGTCCAGGATGACTTTGAACCTGGCGTAGAGGTGAACAAGGACGGCAGCTCGGTGCGTCTGATGATGAGAGGGGATCATGTTGGCGTATCCTAGCCCGTAGTAGTTGGAGTTGATCAGAATCGGCGAGCGGGACCTTAGGTAGATGTACTTTTCCCACCAATCAGACACATAGTTGCCCGACAAGAAGCTTTTCATGATCAGGAGAGTTTGCAACTTCCGAGCTTCTGAAGACTTCTCAAACCCCACAGCGTCTCTCTCCACATTCTCGTACTCCTTCTCAGTGAGGAGAGGCTGCACTGATCGCAGGTACTTCTTGATTGTGCTCTGCAGCGGAGGAACAGCCAACCGGGGCATGGCGTTTTGGAACGAATAGGTCAAGGGCTCGCGCTGGCCAAGGAAGAACCCGCGCAAGATTGCACCCCATGCCATGGTAAGGTAAGATGGCTTCTTCTCATACATCCAGTTCTTGTAGTTCAACAGTATTCGCATGCAGAATCGCTGCACCAGCGCGACGACAAGCATAGAAAGCAAGGCCGACCACCCCGACAGGTAGCAGATCCTGAAGTACTTGGGAAGGTAAGCGGCGACCCCGAAGAGGCCGACAAAGTTCTCGTCCACCGACCATAGGAAGCTTGCGATGGGCCCGCTCCTCCACCACGAGTGATCAGGCGAGTACATGACTCCTCCAACAAAGACTGTGATGCCTGCGAGCGCTGACCAAACAGGTACTGGCCAGCAGGCTGTCTGGAAATGGTAGTACAGATGTTTGAACTTGTGGAGAATGAGATTGAGGAGGCTGTCAGCAGATGGGATAACAATGAGGAGCCCACCATCAAGGGCATGCACTTGCGGGCCTCGGAACTTTGCTCGTGATGAGATGGCGTCCAGTTGCAAGAGAGAGCCAACTCTGATGTTGTTGACAGCCGCGCGCGCTTCTGCCATCTTGCCGCACAAGGATTGAGCACAACCGTGTACTTAAGCTTGATTCGAGTCCACTTTGAAGGAAGTTATAGATTGCCTACAATTCAATGGATCAGCAATGAATGTCAGCAATCTCTCCTTGAAAAATTGATTTGACAACACTAAGTCTCTTCCGCACATCAGGCACGCCTCTTCCTTCCTTGCGTAGTCTGATCTGAGCTTCCGCAATCCCGATAGACTATCCCCCTCTTCTTAGAAACACAATCATCATATTGCTTAACCTTTCCTGTAGAGCAAGTACTGCCTTCCCGCTTCTCGATTAATCACATTCTCGAATTTTCCGAGGTACCTTGGAGCTCGCCCTTTCACGAATCCTGTGCTATTCTACCTCCTCTCATATCTTCATTGCATGAATCTGATACTCTCATGCTTCTATCTCCTCTGGCTACCCTCCTCACTCTTCTCTCCTCCTCTCCTCCTCTCCTCCTCGCATAATTTTGCCTTTCCCCGCTGTCCGCTCGCAGCAGTCGCTAGGGGGCGGATCTTATAGGGGGCCGACCCAAAAGGGGGTGATGGTACACAATTGCGATCGAACACGGGTACTTTAGACTTATTTTTCAGGGGTAGAGGGTCTAACAGACCGACCGAAACAAGGGGGGTGCTGGAGCTGCTTTTAAAAGGTCTTTATACAGAGAGACGCTTAAAAATATATTAAAGTAAATCGTTTGTTGATTTATATCGTTTCGGGGAATACCATTTCATTTTTAGAGCTAGCATGGTACCTTACCCCCTGTAGAACGCAGTCATAACGTGGGTATCGGGGTGGAGGCCGAGATCGAAAACAGAGGAGTTCGGAATAGACGCACAACCCAAGATTTTCCACATTTAGATGAATTGTTTGTAATCTTCTTCTAGATGTTCAAATTTCTAGATAAATAGTTCAAACTTTAGAGAAATGGTTTGAAAATGAGGACAACACGGCTATGGTTCGGATAAAGGACATGCGCAATGCAACTCGTCGTTCAAAAGTAATTTATCTTATGGGGACTCAAAAATTCTTTTAAAAATTCGTATGTGTGTGTCTCAAGTTTTCCAGTACACTTTAAAATATTTATCTAAGGGGTACGTTTGCTTTCCTGCACGGTCAATTGAAGGGGTGGGAGCTCCTAGGAAGTCCTTTAAAATGCTAGCAAGCCTTTTAAAACCACAAATAGATTACAATAGTTTTTATACAAATTCGAATGATCAGTTGCCCCTGCACCCCTCGGGTTCTTTCAAGGGGAAACTGAGGGGTCTGGTACTTTAGCGTTGAGTAAAAATAAGCAGTACTATGCAATACACACTCGCCGGGCCGCACTCAGGCGCCCCTCAGAGTCAGGCGCACTGGCGCGACCGCAGTGCGGCACTGCGCACGCCCGGAGCCGGCGGCGGTCAGTTTCTCGGCCGGGTCGGGGCCGGGCCGAGAGATGATCAGCCTCGGAAGTTCAGGGCCCGGCGGCCGGGCGGCCGGGGGGGTCACGGGCCGTCACTGAGTGACCGTGCCTCCCCGCCGGGCCCTCAGCCGGACTACGCCTCCGAGTCGGCGGACCGCCGGTGACCGTGACTCAGTGACGGTTACTCCGGGGTGCCGCCGGGGCCGCGCGGGGCGCGGCCGTTGCGGCGCCGGGGGGGGGGGGGGCGGGCGGGCCGCGACTGACAGTCGGGACTACCCGGGCCCGGCGGAGCAGTGTCCGAGCCTCGGAGACTCAGCTCCGGGTGCCAAAGGAGTCACCCCCCGGGATGTCCGGCCCGCTGTATGCGGCTACTGAGCCTAGCACGGCCCGCCCGACCGTCGGACGCCACCGTGCCCCGCGTACTACCGTACGCCGTGACGCCGGTCGGCGACTGAGTCTTGTACCCGCGCGGGGGCCGGGCGGCCACTGAGGACTGAGCCTGCCCTGGTTTGGGGTCACCGTGCCACGGTGCCATTCAATGATTGGCGGCGCCGCCGGCCGGGCGCCGGCGCGGCGCCGGCCCCGCCCCGGCCAGGTACGGTCCATCTCACACAAATGGGCAGCTGTGATAGAATAGAAGCGTTACTAGTACAAGCACAGGAGGGCAGCAAGGCAGCATTTGATAGAAAACCCCGGTGGCTGAGGATCGTGAGGATCGAGGGGCTTGACTGGGTCCACCTGGAAGCAGCAGGAGCAGCAGGAGCAGCAGGAGCAGCAGGAGCAGCAGGAGCAGCAGGAGCAGCAGGAGCAGCAGGAGCAGCAGGAGAGGGAGGGGGAGAGGGATATCAGTGGGAACAGCAAACGCTTGCAGCGAGCAAGCGTTGGAGCAATAGCAAGGCAACAGCGAACAAGTGGACGAGGTCTGGAAGAGGGCCGAAAGATGCTTGCCTGACGGAACAGAACCAGAAGATAAGGAGAGCGAGAAGGAATCTGCACATCCTCCTCTCACAGGGAGCTGCTTGCGAGTTGCCGAGGTTTGGGGGATCGCCGTCACCTCATGGGGGGGAAGGGGATCGGCATGCTACGAATCGAGATGTCCAGCACGGAGCTCCTTTGATCCAGACAACGAGACGATGGAGGAGGGACCCTTGTTCCCCCTCAACAGCAACGATTATCTCATCTTCTTCCTGACCTTCTGCGCATCCGGTATGTCCAGTGCTCCTTAGCCTCCCGTGGGTGTTGACCGGCTCTGTAGCTCTCGGCGCAGCAGGAGGGATAGGAGGAGGAGGGATCATGGTGCCCCTCCTGGTCAGCGTCGGCGGCTTCAGGTCCTCACCTCTTCTTCCTCGTTACGCACTGATCCGAACCTCCTCTTCCAGCGTCCATCACGCCATTCCCCTCACGCAGGCAACAGGTATGTCTGCCCTCCTGCTGAGTCTTCCCTGACCGACTGATGAAAGTCCTCGGTGCCTCCATCATGAATCTCATCTACAACGTCCGCAAGCGCAACCCGGTCTTGGATCGACCGCTCATCGACTACAACACGTGAGAAGAGGAGGGAGGTGTAGTCGACCGGCTGACAGAAGCATGCAGGGCCTTGATCCTTGAAGTGACGACGCTGCTCGGCACAGTGAGCGGGTCGACTGCCTTGATAGCGAGTGGCTGAAGGAGGAGCAGGTCATTGGAGTGGATGTGAACAAGATCTCTCCTGTCTGGCTCATCACAATCCTGCTCATCGTCACCCTTGGGTACACCACCTACCGGACTCTGCGCAAGGTGACGCCTCCTCTGGCGAGTCTCCCGCCTGACGACGATGGAAGGGGCTCGAGCTGCGCGCGATCGAGACAGGAGGAGGAGAGCAGGAGGTGCAGCGGGCCGTGCCCATCCCCATGGATGAAGAGCATGCGGTAAGTGAGGGCTGGAGGGAGGAGACGCTGACGGGAGGGGCGATGGAGCAGCTCGAGGAGGAGGAGAGCAGCGAAGCTGATGCGCTGATGCCCACCACTGTGCCGGTGCACCAGGACGTCCATCAAGATGTTAGTGGGAGGATGGAGGCGAATTGAACGTGGGAGAAGGAGGTGGAGCTTGATGACGGGGCGCAGGTGGAGTTAGAGGAGCTCGACCCTAACAGCGAAGCGAGCGGCTCGTCAGATCGGAAGACTCTCGTGGCTATCCTACAGGAGGAGAGAAAGATTCCGGTCTCGCAGGTCCTTATCTTCCTCATCTTGTTATCCTTCCGATCCCCCTCGCCTCCTCCTCTCC